AAGGGGCATGTCACTAACTTCAATCACATTTTTAGTAGGAAAATGTGACGTCGCACGAGCATACTTTTTAATTTCTCTGGTGCTACGATCCCGTAGTATGAGTTGTCACCAAGAACAGACGATCTCAGGAACGTCTTTAGGGCAGCTTTAATACGGAAGCTCCCTATGACATGAGCCAATGGGGCTAACCACAGCGCAATAAGTGAAACGATGTGTAGGAGTTGTGAAAAAAGCCGCAACGCCGACGGTATGCGACGCGAAGGCAGACTCACCCGCGGCCTCGCACTCCATTCCACAGTCTGGAGAGTCTGAGCAGACATCGCCGGACGCCCCCCGATCATCGGAATGCGGAGCCTTCTCGTCGTCCTCGTCGGAAGCAACGGCGGGGACAGCCGCTTTGACGTCGACTTGCGACCCCCGTGCGCCAGACGACTCTGCGTAGATCTCGAAGCTCGGTGGAGCAGGGCACAAACTGGATCCTCTGCAGCTCAGTCTGGCCGACCGCCGGGCGTTGGATTGCTGCGTTCGAACGTTGTTGCCACCGTCGATTCAATCAATCGACAAAGCGACCGAAGAAGGGCATCGTATACCCCGGACTGGAGTCTCTTTAGAGCCACGCGGAGAGTCGGGCGTCCTTCGTTAATCCGGAACGCATTTTAAAAGAGGCAGAGAAGAGATTGGTGCAGCCGTTCTGGAACGGTGGCTAACTTTCCTGGGCTACCGTTCCGCCACGTTTGGTGGGGGCGCCGCAAGGGATCACCTGGGCATGCGACTTCTCGGTGTCTCGCAACACGGAATGATTGTAGTCGTGTCGTAAACAATCAAAAGCTCCAGTTGTCCCGACTCCAGCGCGACTGCCTTACCTTCGACAACTCGTACACCTGCAGCACGCGTGCACAGCCACGCAGAAGGCATGAAGCACGTGTTCGAAGACTGGCACTTCAAAGACCCGATGGCTGCTCTTAGGGAGCATCCATCGGGTTTAGAAACTCAGCATGGGCATCGCGAGAGCGACCATGTTTCAAGAGCAGCGAAACACGTGCATCTCAACACCATCGGTGGTTTCAAAATGCCCGCATTGCGCCATTGGAGTAGGCAAACTTTGTCAGAAAACAAAGACCCAACATCCCACGGACTGTGGACCACTCAACAGTAGCCCTAGCGAACCTTTTCGTTCATTTAACACTCAAATGCCCACATTACGTTATGAACAGTCAGAAATCGCAGGTTGTTTAGAGTGTGTAAATATTTTGCATAATCCCCCTTTCCCCACCGGATTTAAAGGTGCACTAGAGACGTTTCTGAGATTGTCTGTTCTTGGTGATAACTCCTTCTACGATAACTTAGCATCCCAGAAATCGAAAAATTATGCTCCTGCAAAGTCCATTTCCCTACTAAAAATGCTATCGAAATTCGTGCCACTCGTCTTTCTGAGCAGAACAATCTGGAGCACATAATTCAGCAGAGGCGCCAGCCAATCGCAAGCAAAGGCGCCACCAGCACCTCCGCTGAATTCTGTGCTCCAGATTTTGCCGCTCAAAAAGGGGGGTGGCACAAACTTCGATCACATTTTTAGCAGGGAAATAGACATCGCACAAGCATAATTTCCCAATTTCTGGGATGCTAAGTTCTCGTAGAAGGAGTATTCACCAAGAACAGACAATCTCAGAAACGCCATTTAGTGCTTCTTGAGGATGGTGGCCAATGACAGCCTACAAGATTTCTTACCTAAAGAAATCTAAAGCTAAATTTCTCCAGCTGAATTCGACGCCATGGTATACAGTACTTTTGCAAAATGCAGTGGCTCTAAACTGCACCATCTACATTTGCTAACTATAGTCTTTTTACTGTTTGTGTTTGGCACATGAGAACTCTGACCAAGCCAGAAATGTCATCATTTTGACATTGAGGAAACTACTTTATTTCTAGTTGATGTAAACATACTACTCACATGCAGTCTTCTGTAGCATTAGGTTAACAAGGTCACGTAGCATTATAAAGAAAGGGGGGGGGGGGTTACTAGGAACAGGAAACTTAAGTCTTCAGGCTCTCAGTTTCTTGCCAAGGGAGAAAGTCAGTTTCTCCCTTTAAGTGAGAGCACAACGTCGCATATGTACCAGAATTCAAAAAGAGGCCAGGTGAACCGCAAGGGTCTTAACCTCACAAACTGGGCAATGTCGATAGATAAACACTCTGCTTGAGAAGCTGCATGAGTGGTTGTATGTATGTCTTAAATCAAAAAAAAGACGAAAAGTTTAAGAAATGGTCGACATAGAAAACCACCCATTCCAAAGTTACTGTCACAGATATCGGCGAAAAGCACTATGACCGGAAAGCTGACGATTGCTCAAATTTTGCATTGCCAAAAAACCATCTAAAAAAAAGGGAACAGGTATGATTTTACGCAAACGAGCATGGAAGTGTTAGCACAATGGAAAGGCAGTTCCCACCAAACACTACCGGCTTGTAAATGATGCATGTACAGTGCTAATCACACTTGTCTATAAAGCGCGAGCGTGCGGATTCTCCGGGGAGCGCTAGACTGGTGGCATTCGCGGAAACTAAGCTAGTCACGTGGCGCAACATGGAACGGCCCGCTCGAGGGGTGTCCTGCCCACTCTATCAGCTGGCGGCGAACGCGGAAGGATGCTCGCACGCTTTTTGCAAGTACCATTGCTCGAACACTAAACAAACTGAACCATGAAGGCATATCAACAATGTCGTCATTAAAAAAAACGCAGATTATAAAGCACTTTACTTTTATCGCTTATCAAGCGATAGAGTGGGCAGGATACCGCTCGGGCGGGCCGTTCCACGTTGCGCAACGTGACTAGCTTAGCTTCCGCGAACGCCAGCAGTCTAGCGCTCACCGGAGAAACCTGCACGCTCGCGCGTTATAGACAAGTCTGATTAGCACTGTACTTGCCAATCCCCATAGCTTTTAAAATATATATTCTCACAATAAAATACTGAGATTCTGGCGTTGAGCACTAACGTTCGGAAAAGCCGATCCAAGCTGCATATGTAAGCACGCTTGCTGCGTCGACCTAGCACGTTCACCCCTGCAGCAATCGGGAGTACCCGAGATATTTTTATCCAGTATACAGAGTATCATGATTGTTAACAAATTTACTCGGTAAGAAAAACAAAAATCTACGAAATCTTTTTGAAAACGCACGTAAGGCACACAACCAAACTAGCGAAACGAGGACGCTTAATAAATGTTGCGAAGATAATCCGGAGTTACCGCGAAAAACACTAGCAGAATTACAGCAAACGAAGCTTTCACGACAAAGATCCCAGGTCCAAGGCGCCCCCAAAATCTCGCGAACAACAGAGAAGCGACGAACAACACGTTAGGTTTACAAATGGTTCAGAGATAACGTAATGAACAGGCATATTCATGAACGGGAAGATCTATGAACAAGGACAACATAAAAGATAAAAAATGAGCAAGGTTCTCCGGAAACCAATAAAAAAAGGGGGAGTCAACGACTGGAACAAAGCGACAAGGCATGAAAAAACGCACCTGTCGAACCAAATCCCGCTTCGTGGGCCCGGCCTGCTTGCCACCGCCCACCACCAAATCGGGCTGCAAATTGGTCAGCGCCGGCCTCTTGGTCAAAGCCTGGGTCTGCATCTTGCTGTCGGGGTTCTCGGACCTCTTGGAAGGGGCAGCCCCGAAGGGTCTGGAGTTTTCGTCGCCGGCGTCGACAACGGACGCAACGTGAGCTTGACGCCTCGCCATGTTTAAAAAAAAACGGTCGGCTCGCTGCTTGCGCTTACGGGCAGAAAGAAAGACGGGTCAGTTTGAAAATCTCGCGTCTCTCGGTGTGGGTCCGACTCACGGCTGCATGGGGGCTCCTTTCGGTGACATTCGTGGCTGACCAGAGCCGGTGTGCGGTCTTCGTATTGATGTCCGAATGTGGATTGGTTTCCCACGCCCGAGCCAACCGCGCTGTCAGAACCCAACTGACAGAAATGCAGCGATGCTGCTGAGTCAAAAAGCGCTAAATTCACCGCAACGGGTTGGTTCCGCACAAACGGACCAATGAAATGCGCCGGTTCGGGTCACGTGAGGCCACGCGTGAAGCCCATACGTCGCTTATTTTTATGTTTTTTGATCGCGCAAGTTCGCGCGACCGCGCGCGCCTTCGCGATCACGGCGCCACCAGCGCCACTTCGAACCTTTATTTGGAAACACAAAATCTGGTCCAAAAATAATAGATATTTGTGTGCGCTGTGCTGCAAGATTTAAAAATGAATCATTTTTTTTTTCTAATTATTAATCGCTGTTTCTCTGCGGCGTCCCAATGAGCTTCAAGCAAGTCATAAATAACGATTTAATGTCTAGTTTATTATGAATAAAGCTATACGCACTCTGGAGTGCATTTCGGTCGAAGTGGCTATACCCACTCCGCTAAACTCGTATAAAACGAAGGGCCGCAACGTTTTTTCTAGGCGATGGCGTAGCATAGAGGTGAAGGAGACCGCTTTGTACGCAAGCGGACGCGGGTTCGATCCACAATCTGCCTATTCTTCTTTCTCAAAACATTTTGTTTTGTCGAGGCATTGACGATATTAACATTTCTTTTTTGCGATGATGTTGTCGACGAAACTTCGCAGAACTAAATGGTATGGGTCTCCCTTTTCGGAGGTGCGATCGGGGACAGCGGGGCTTGGGTTGCCGGCTGGACTCCGCGAAGCGGCGTGTACTGGTTAAGTTTTTTAATTAGCAGCCGATACTGTCGCCGCGAAGCGGCGTGAACGCAGGCGGGGGGCTGTGTTAACGAGCCCCCAACGATACACGCGCCGTTCGAAAAGGGTGGCCCGAGCGGCATGAGCTCTGCGCGGAGTGCGTATACCCATTTCGTCCAAAATGCACTCCGGAGTGCGTATAGCTTTACTCGTTTATTATTGCCGAAAAATACCTCTTAAGAATAGGAGTACGGAACTCGTACAAGTTCACAAAATGTGTAGCTATTTGTTTGACGCCCTTATCGAATATATTATTGATCCCTAAATATGGGCACATGCTTTCATTGCCCGTCGTCCGCGACGCAAAATCACACTAGGAAAATCTGCGCAGCGTCGGGTTCTCAACGTTGACAATTATTGGGCAAAACAACACTACACAACAAAGCAACAACACACGACTTTCAGATTCACCATCGCCAAATCACTTTTTCATAAAGAACTTCCAGTACACGATGCCACTGAAGATGATAATTTCCATGATGATGATCAAGATCAAAATGAGTTTGTTGGTGATCACGCGCCTGTACATGGTGCGCTGTATCTTGCGACTCGTCGTCAATTTCTGATCGGTCTCTTCGAGCCGCTCTTTGGTCCGGACCAGAGACTCGCGCTGCATGCGCAGCTCTTCGGCTACGGCAACCCCGACTTGATCGGTCTCGGCAGCGACTTGAAACGTTCGGACGAGGGCATCGGTGGTCCTGCCCAAGGTTTCGTTCATCTGAAGCAGCCGACTGCGCTGAGGATCGTTCCCAAAGTCACCGATGACGGTTGAAGGGCTCAGGAGTTCCTGCCTCGTGCCGCTGGCGTTGATGCTAGTCGCCAGTGTGACAACCGCCTTGTTGACGTCGTCGAGTTCAGCCCGGTACTTGCGGGTCTTGGCGTTCATCTGGATACGGTACGGGTTGGGCGCCGAGTGGGCTTCGTCCTGGAGTTCTTGGAGGACGTCGTTGGCCTGGTCCAGTTTACGCTGTACTTCGCGTAGATGGGTTCTCTTGCTTTCGCCGCTTTGAAGGCGATTGCGGGTCCCGTCCAACTTGCGCTTGATGTCGTCGAGGAGGGCCCTGAGGTCCTCTTCGAGGTATTCGAACTTCTCGGACGACATGCCGTGATGCATCGCTGAGAAGTCCAGCGGAAAGCCGGTGGCGTTTACGGACGTGAAGATGGGCGAAAAACGGCTCCAAGGCACAAACATAACACGAAACACACCCCGCCTTAAAAGATCGCAGAAACCAGCGACAAGAGCAGTGATATGGACGCGCTCGAGTACACAAGTCCTTCCGTCTCATTTTAACAGTGACGTCATTTAGTATCGAATGTTACGGGTTGCGCTGGTTAATTTATTTCTAATATAAAGGGTATAAACCGACCGAAAGAAGAAAACATTGCAATGATAAGCTGATGAGAACAATAATTTTCTGTTTTATACCGTTAATGCATTATTACTACTTTTATCGTTTTCAGCCATGCCGAGCGTTCTGGCATTTGTTTAATCGTGAATGAAGTAAAAGAACGCACTCAAACAAATCACGTGACAGAAACATTTATATATGTACAAAACAATCTTATTTTTAATTAGACGGCTTCTTGCGCCATCTGCCAATATTATTATTATATTTAAACATGTTTTTTAGTGCCGTCACCTGTGAGAGAAGCAAGAAGCTATCATAGAGGAACAGGGGAGAGCGTAACAGAGACTGGCAGAAATCCTCACAACAGCTGAACGAACCCTAAGCGCTTTTGTTATGGCTCGTGCGGTGCCATGACTCGCTTGAAGTCACATTAGGGCGTACCACGGTTACTTCTCGCGCACAGACGGAAGCAGGAGAGCGACGAGTGCGTGCCCGTGACCCTGAAGCCGGATGGCGGCGTCGCCATAGTCAAACATGGCAGATCTCGACGCGATCTACGAAGAGGACGACGAAGACCTGAGGGCCAACGAAGATTCGTTGGTGAGCCTCGTACCCGAACCGATGGTCATACGAGGCGCGGGAAACATGACAGTGTGAGTACCGGTCTATCTCCTCCGGACGAGCTAGCGCATACTCCATGTGCCTCAACGTCACGCGCTGCAAGAGTTCTTCACCCCTCATCGTGCATGCATGTGCTCGAGCGAGCACTTCCATGGTCCATTTTTAAACCATGCTTCGGTGCTTGCTTACGAAAGAAGGAAAATACCTCCGCGGTATGACCGACAGCGTCTCTGAACGTCAGGTCGCTTTGAAAATAAATAGCGACACAAACCACGTTGGGTTTTTATCCCCTCCAATTGCCCAGAGGCAGGCGGCGAGAGCTGCCAGCGACGCGCTTTTCGTTTGTTTGTGCATTTTTCGTGGTAGTTACGGCAAACAAAAGGAACGATATCGCCCAGTGTGTTTGGTTGGCGTGCCGCAACTTTTTCCAGATAGTAAGGGCGTGCGTGTGTGGGGAAATGGAGGGGAGGTCTTTTTCCAGCATCGATTCAGCCTCACCCACGTGTCTCTTGTGGTGTCGCGCCGTCCCTCTTCACGTCTCGCACACGTCACGACCATTAAACAGCTCGTCGATCCGGAATTTTATTTTCATTATCGATCGGCTGATCTACGAAGTCCGATCCTGAAAGGTAAACCCGGCTTTTTAGCTCTCATAAGTAAAGTACGCTTCGCAGAAGGCTGAAACTCCGTGAGATTCTGACGCTTGCGGTAAAGATAAAATGCGAAAGTTTGAGCGCATAATGTTGCCATACTACAGAAAAAAAAAATTCTATGGGTCGACGTTTACCTGAGCCAAACTTTCACCAAATTAAAATTTGAGACTGTCAGTGCTTGCAGCAATATGTCAGTGAAGAAACTAATTGTCAGCATGAAAGTGGCCAGGGGGGCTATGTTCGACAAATGTTTCGTTTCTATAAAAAAAAACAGAAGTGGCTGAACTGGCATCATGGCGTCTGATTGGTTAGAGGCTCAAATGACGAAAGAGGGAACTTTAGTCATTTGAGCTTCTAACCAATCAGACACCATGTTGTCAGCTCCGTCACTTCCGTTTCTTTTTAGGAGAAACGAAATATTTGTCGCACATAGCCCCCCAGTTTCTTTCACTGAAATAAAGGCTACAGGCACCCACAATCTCAAATTACTGCTCGATGAATATTAGGCTCAAGTAGATATCGGCTCATTGAGAAGTCTTTTTTTTGTGTCTTTTGATCCAGATAACTTCATGCGCTCACACTTTCACATTTTATCGCCACCGCTAGCATCGGATTCTGACTACGGTTCAGCTTTCCGCGATGCATAGTTTATTTGTAAAAGCCGTCTTTGCTTTTCTCGATTCGACCATGATTTCCCCCTTTACCGTTCACTTCTCCATACTGGCAAAATATCTCCTGCCTGCGAGTGTGCGTGCGATTTGTATTTGTATGACAGTGTTGTCCTCACCTAGCATATTGTATCACCACATATGAACACAGTTGTTGCAGTCTGACAAGATGAGAATGATGGCTTCCTACTTTTGATACCGCTTCGGCGTCTTGAAAGCCTGCAGTGCGCAGCCCCAGCACTGTGCACGCTGGAGCAGGGTCATTTGAAACAGACGCCCTGTGGTTCTTGTCCCCATAGTTTGGACTGTTGCCTTTGTGTGGCTCTCATGAGACAATAAAGATTTTTAATATTACTTCTCTTTTAGATGCTATGCATTCGTTCATTTCCACTAAGTTCCTTTAGTCGACTGTTCCGGAGTGGTGTGACGTGGAGGCACAACCCGGAAGTGTCAGGGACATTGTCAAGAAACGAGCCCAGTCAGAAAAAATAAGCCGGAAACGCCATCAAGTGCCCTGAGCCAAGACTTGCAGACTTGGTGGAAGAAAAATTGGCATAAATTCTGCTTAGAGCAGAGCGCAGGCGCTGCTCACTCGATGTAGCGTGTGCTACCCGATGCAAAGAGAACAGCCGACAAATCCAGTCCAAGCATTGGACTGGATTGAGGGTGCGACACTAGACTAGACCCAGCTAGGGCTACTGGAGTTACTAACAAATGGGAAAAGCCGCACACCCCAACCCAAGCTTTACAACGAAAGTATCCGAAAGTGTGCATCTGGTGGCCATGCTGCCATTCGGTTATTAACGTGTGTAGTTGAGCGTTGTGTTTTCATCGCGTCTCCGAAAATGGCCTCTTTACTGACGGTGCTGGCAGCAAGAAAGTGCTCATTTAATCCGAACTAGACGAACCGGAATATTTCGGAATATGCAAGTTGGATTAAGCCCGTGCAAAATGACTCTCACAGCGCTCAGTGCTCAATGCCTTGTGTTGTAATGTTCTTATATATTTAACCGCCTCTACAGTGGTTAGGAAATTTAACCTGAAATGGTCAGGGAATTTCAAAATAATAATTTGCTAGACACCCTGATCCACAAAATAAGCTTCTTCATTGGCACTACTCCCGGAGTAAGAGGATGCCGTGGTACGGGACAAAGCGAAACACACTGCAGCAGTGACCAGTTGTACCTTCTGTTTAAAAAAAAAAAAAAAAAAAAAAAAAAGAAACCATTGAGCTGACAATTTCCAAGTGTCCCTATGTATGTTTTCCAGTGTTGATCGTTTCCCCGTATCTCTGTGCTTTTCAAACCCTTGATGCAAACTACGGTATCTTTTAAATGCGACGCCGTGCCTCGCTCAATTATTTTATGATTTACAATATATTTGTATACCCAAGCGTGGAGGGGTGTACACACATCATTTGACTGGTCTGCTGTCATGTTACAACAATCACATCTTCATTATCTTCAACATGTTATGCGGTCCACGCGTGGGACCGTTCCCATTATAAAGTAGACATCTTTGAAGAGGAGGCAGTTTGTTTAGAAATGTGGCTTTCTTGTGCTTGCAGGTTTGGCCTGAGAAATAAATTCGACACGGAATTCCCGCCAACGCTATCTGCTAAGGTAAATACCTTCTTCGAAATCCGCTCCCAATCACTGACAACCCTTAACCGTGGTGGTTATCTTGAGAGACGCTCTTGTAGAGATATGCGAGTCTTAAGAAACAAAGGTTGAGATTTAAGCACAAATCTGGCTGTGATATGGTGACGCACAATTAGGGGTCACGAAATTTCGCCGGCTCAATTGTCGTAAAATTGCTTTTTCTCGCTAACATACTTTGGTCCCATTTATGGCCAGACAAACTTGATTATAGGCTGTGATACATGTTGCTGGCTTCCAGAAGCTCCTGTGTGCAAACAATCATTCTGTATTGTCTATGAATGCAACCTTGATAGAGGCTTGCACCAGGTTTTTCATAACTTTAGTTTTAATTAATAGTAACTGCCTGCTATCACTGAAAGATAATTGTTCCTGTCTAGGAAAACAATCTTTAACAAGCACAGTGAACCTGTTCAGTGCGTTTGGCGCTAGTCTTTTACCGGCCTCCCCGCTAACCCTATCTGAGTGGACCGTTGATCTCGATAGGTGCAGGCTGCGTAGCTGCAACTTCAGACACAGCTGGCAGCTCAACTCTCGCCTTTTCCCGCTGTTTTGTTTTGCGTTTAATGCTGTATTTACTTTCCCTAAGACATTGAAGAAGCATTCTGCCGCACTTAAAACAAAAAAGGAAGCTGGTTGCTATTTTTGTTGGGTACCTGCACGACTAAACAAATGTGACTGGTATGTTTGTTTTGTTTTACGACGGGCTTTGCTGGCGCCGCCTGCTCGGCAGTGTCAGTCGACAAAGCTGTCGAAAATCATTAACAGAAGGTGGCCGAAAGGCACGCCTATTTGACGTGCACGAATGATGTGATACCAATCTACACGGCACGACTCTGACATCAAACTTGGCAAGCGTCAACATTCAAACAATATATGGCGCATACCACACGGTATGAAATAACGCGGCACAGCAGTGTCGACGACAGTCGCACCTCTACAGGCGGCCGTAATCCAAGAGGACCTGGTTTTGGGGAGAGCTTCTTCTTTTTTTTTTTCACAATACCAGCACCAAGCACAGAGACAACTGTTCTCTCCAGTCCCCAAGATAAACCTCTACGCAGATTATCTCTGGGACTTGAAAGAACAGTTGTCCTTGTTTGCAGAATTGCGTCGTGGGCCGTTCGATGTTCTTTCCTTCCTTTGTTTCTTGTGAAAGTCGAGCAGAACCGCTGAAATGATGTGCACTTA